GACTCGACGGCACTTAACAACAACAACAACCCTATAGTCCTCATCTTACTCCATAGAACTCTGACCTATTTGGTGCCCTGAAAGCAGCCCTTTGAGGTTGAAGATTCACTTCTGATGAAGAAGTGAAGACAGCAGTACATTCGTGGATCACAGCCCAGCCGAAAACATTTTAAAATAAGGGAATATGAAAGCTTGTTGACAGATGGATAAAATGTATTGACAAGCCAGGAGATTTTGTTGAAAAATGATGTATTTGTCTCTTCTAAAAGTTGGTTAAAATACAGCCTGAGTACGGATTGTTTTTGACTCACTGTTGTATATTGCTACAAATAAAAAGGAAAAGGACAAAAAAAGAATATTAAAAATACCATGGACTACCAAAAGAACAAAGCAATCTGTGCTGGAAGAAGTACAGCCAGAATGTTCCTTAGCAGCCAGGATGGCCAGACTTCGTCTCTCGTACTTCGGACATATTATCAGGAGGGACCAGTCCCTGGAGAAGGACATCATGCTTGGTAAAGTGGAGGGTCAGATAAAAAGAGGAAGACCCCTAACGAGATGGATTGGCAAAGTAGCAGCAGCAATGGACTCAAATGTAACAATGGATATAAAGCTGGTGCAGGGATAGGCAGGGTTTACTATGCTGTATTCAGAACCTGTGAGTCAGAACCTACTCAACGGCACCTAACAATATTCCTAACCTCACTTGCTCCCCTTCTGTTGTTAGGTGCTGACAAGTCGGTTCTGACTCACAGGGACGACCCTAAGCACAACAGAACTAAACACTGTCTGGTCCTTGAACCCATTGCTACTGGCCTTTCTTTGGGGGTCTTCCTCTTTTTCTCCTACCCTCCACTTTACCAAGCATAATGCCCTTCCCCAGGGATTTGTCCCTCCTGATAATATGTCCCAGGTATTATCTCGCCACCTCGGCTTCTCAGGAGCATTCTGGCTGTACTTTCAATATAAATTTGTTTGTTCTTCTGGCAGTCCATGGTCCTTTCCACATGGTCCAACACCATAACTCAAATGCATCAAGTCTTCTACCGTCTTCCGTATCCACTGTCTAACTTTCATGTGCATATGAAGTGACTGGAAATACTATGATTTGGGTCAGGTGCACCTTAGTCCTCAAAGTGACATCTGTGCTCTTAAACACTTTAAAGTGGTCTTGTGCAGCATACTTGCCTAGTGCAATACGTCAGTTGGTTTCCTGACTGCTGCTTCCATGAGTGTTGACAGTGGATCCAAGTAAAATGAAGTCTTGGACAGCCTCAATCTTTTCTCCATTTACCATGATGTTATTTACTTGTCAAGTGGTGAGGATTTAAATTTTCTTTGCACTGAGGTGCAATCCATACTGAAAGTTGTGTGTGGTCTTTGATCTTCATCAGTATTTTAAGTCCC